CCATACAAAGGATTCTTTACTGTCCCAGCAGTCAACTGTTCATTAAGAACTGAACTGAACTATATGAGGTAGATATGAACACCAGAGACTCAATTCACAAGCTAATACATCAGGATAATGGTCCTTATTTTCATAAAATGACCTAAAAGTGCACAGAATATATTGCAGTTCAGCAGATACACAGAAGGAATTTGAGAGTGGAAGAAAATGCTAGGTGTATGATTAAATAAACTTGAGCAGATGCTTTTTATTGTACCGTAATATAAATATATTTATATATTTACAAAAAAAAAAAAAGGTTAATGATTATTACAGATGATGTGACCAGATATCATTATACGCAGTATGTATAGTTTATTGGCCTCACTGAAAAATATGCCAAGTTTGTAGGTGCTTTGAACTATCAGTGCCTACTTTACAAACTGAATTAGTAGCATCTCTGCATTGCTATGCAAATACATCCAAGTTCTGTAAAAAGTGGGCAAATTCTGGATCAGTGTAGAGCAATCACTGACAGTAAATCGAAATACTCTCAGCTTCACTCACCTAGGACTGGAATATGGCTGGTTTCTGGTCACATTTTGTGTGTCGGGATTTATGCCTCCCCTCCCAGAAAGGACATTAGGAGGTAGGTAGCTCACGGCACTCACCAAACCAAAGTCCTATGTTCTCTTAAGATTTATTTTTTAAATCAGATAGTTTTTATTGATTTTGTGTACAAAAGGTGTACAAAATACAATATAAAACAGACTGTTAATCCAACGGCAAAACGTATGGAATAATCACCACATTTTAGACAACACAGTTATTGTATACAATTTACTATAATCACCCAACACCTTCCGATGGGGCCAGAGTAATACAAAACAGACCCCAGGAAGCATCAGCAGACACTGACTATTCACAAGATGCAACATTCCCACGATAAGAGAACCAGTTAGACCACATGGATGTGAATTTAGTCATACTACCTCTCTGTTTAAAAGTGACACATTCATATTCAACCATCTTATCAAGTTCTTCAAGCCATAAATCCAGCGTGGGAGGAGAGGGAGAGATCCACCTACGAACTACCAGCCTGTACGCTGTGAATAAGACTCGTTTAAGGGCCACAATCGTGTAAGAGGCTAAATCCGGTGCATCAATAACACCAAGGATACAGACTAGTGGAGAGTTAAGTAATGAGGATTCAAACAACCAAGTTAAGGACATCTAAAACCTCATCCCAAAGCAATGCTTTGCTATATGGGCCAATGATTTAATTGACTGATTTACCAGTTCACATTAAAATTGCCTCATGAAAAATATATTTTTTTTGTTGAGATGATGGAGTTGATTCACTAAAAGAAAATAAGCTATTTGCTTTCCAAGGTCAGCACAGTGGTTTGGAGCTGGAATACAGGAATCAAGTTGGAATCCTGGTCAGGACATTATCTGCAAGGGGTTTTCATGCTCTTCCTGTGCTTGTGTTGATTTCCTCTGGGTACTCTGGTTTCATCGCACACTCCAAATACATGCAGGAAGGTTAATTGGCCCTGTAAAGGTCTAAATTGGCCCTGTGTGTGCTAGCGATCTTAGAGTGTAAGCTCTTTGAGGGCAGGGACCGTCGTGAATATGCCGTATGTAAAGCGCTGTGAAAATTGTTGGCGCTTACCTGTATATATATATTTTCCTTACCTTAGCGAATGAGTTGAAGCTCTGCAAACTCCCATCACGTGCAAGTACAAATTCTAGTTTTTAGATTTCTGCAAAGAGAATTTTCACCACATTTACTAAACTAAGTGAACATTTCCTTGCAAAGTTAATAGCCTAAAATAGCCTAAAATTATAAATAGCCTTAGTAAATAAACTCTAATGAGTGTATAACACGTCACGATTTAACCTGCTCTCCCTTTATACAACCTTCTAAAAAATACTATCAGGTCTATTCACAAAAGGGTGAAGAGTTTGGAGAAGGCAGGAGAAGTGAACAATCTAGGACAACATAGATGAACTGGAAAGTGAGCTGAATTGGAGAATTTTCCAGTTCAGCTGTGTTCTCCTAGATTGTTCACTTCTTCTGGCTTCCCCAAACGCTTCACCCTTTTGTGAATAGGCCTTTATGTCATAAGTTTAATTTACATTAACATTAATCTAATCCCCTTTAAATGTAAACATCTACATTAATCTGCTTACACAAATGCAAGATTTTGTTTATTGTTTCATCACTTTATTGACAGGTATAGTAAACCTTTGCTTCTATATTCTGCACAATAATAAAAGCAGATCTCACCCTGAGACTTGGCCCAGTGGGATTTAAGTATCTCAGAAGACAATTTACAAGCTATTCAGACAAGGATAAATAGCCCATGCCTGACTGAAGAGTAGACTATCCATGGACACACACTATGCTATAAACCTTTAAGGGAAATGTATTTTTTTGATACCGGCTTTTAAATTTTTTGTTGTGGGCTCTACACAAGTGTTGCCTAATACAATACAGTATATACTATATATTGAATGATACTGTTCATTTGCTAAGTGGACTTACCCAAAGAATATACACTTTAACTGGCTGCAGTTAATTGTTCTGTTTTTCATGTATTTTAGTTTTACATTCCGGAAAATTGCCTTTTTACCATAACTGTCAGAGCAATGTAGGATCCTAGCCTGGGTTCTCTCAGAGAAATGCAGTACATGGCAAACCAACTTACAAAAAAATGAACACAGTCATAAAATGTTTTTATCAATGAATTCAACACACAGGAACTCTTTTGACTATTTCATTATTGTGGGAATTTCAGATGTTCCAGAGATGCAGGTCCCAATCTTCCTTATGGTTCTGTCCATATATCTTATAACGTTTGGTGGTAACATGACCATTCTATGTTTGGTTTGCCTGGATCATCACCTTCACACTCCTATGTATTTCTTCTTGGCTAACCTCTCTATTCTGGACATGGCTTCCTCCACTGTGACATTGTTTAGGATTCTTGCTAGTTTCATTACAGGGAACACCATGGTTTCATACCCGGCTTGCATACTACAGCTGTATATTTGGGCATCGTTAATTGGACTTGAACTCTTGATATTGACTGCCATGAGTTATGATCGATATGTGGCCATATGTAATCCACTGAACTACCACATGGTCATGAATCACAAAGTGTCTGCTCTTTTGGCTGCAGTCTGCTGGTTGTGGGCTTTTCTTGAATGTCTACCACACACCGTTATCATTATTAAGTTTTCTTGCTACAAGTCTAACAGGATAAACCACTTTTTTTGTGACATTCTTCCACTTAAGAATCTTACTTGCAGCAGCACAACACTTTTGAGTCAACTGATTCTGGCTAGTGTGCTCTTTCATTTGTTTTTCTCATTCCCCTTGACTTTCATACCGTATGTTTTCATAATTACCACCATACTGAAGATCCCTTCCAGTGTTGGCAGACACAAAGCATTCCACACATGTTCCTCACATCTGACAGTGGTCATTCTACTCTATGTGGTCCTTCTCTGTCAGTATATGAAACCAAACCAAGAAGCTCAATTGAACTCCAATAAACTTTTTTCTCTGTTCAACACAGCTGCTGTCCCCATGCTAAATCCATTAATTTATAGCTTAAAAAATAAAGATGTTAAGTTAGCACTTAGACGAGAGTTAAAGAAAATTAGGGTGTTCCTTAAGTATGATAAGTTAAACTAAAATGTAAGCATGAGGCTGTGAGGAAAGTATGGTAGCTGCTACTGAGTTGATCTACTTGGTTTTAAAAATTCAAATTACAGAATGTATGCTTGTTTTTGCTTCACTACTTAGTTGGGCACTGCCCAGATCATGCATCGAACTTGCAGGCCAGGAATCCTAACTTCAATTACTTATTTTGAGTCAATGGGGTGATTTAATAAAGCTTAAAAGGCTTTTCCCTTTGCAAGGGAATTTGTGAGTGTTGTGAAATTTCACTTTGCAAAGACTACCCACACTGAAATTTCACATGCAAGGAAAATAAATAATACAGTGTTTTTGCATGCACACATTTAGATGATAGAAATCAGCAGAGCTTCACCTCATTCATTAAACTAATGGGAAACTTCCCCTGTGAAAGTGCAAGCCTATTTGCCTTTAGTAAATCAAACCCAATGATTAACTAGGTAGTTAAAAGTAAAAGTATGAATGACTGCCCTGGAGCTTGCATCTTAAAAAATCCACAAAATAGAATGGCAGCTCCATTATTTTTATCTTCACAGGTTAAACGTTAAAGTGACACTAAGAGGGTTCTTCACAAAGCTGACGGGAGCAAGCCGAGTAAATAACCCAGCAGAAGTGAAGCGAGACGAACACTGTTTGGCTATTCACTTCTGGCTTGTACGGCTGATTTCAGCCGTACATCAGCTGCCTTTGGTCAGCCGAACATGCTCGGCATGTTCGGCTGAACCGAAGGGCAGAAGAAGTTCGACTTAGCTGATCCAACATCTGGATCGGCTGTGCCAAAGCTCCGGTAGCCCCTATTCTCGGCAATCAGCTCGGCTATTCTGCGCGGCACCTCCTTGGTCTGACGTCACGGCCAGCTCCGCCCAGTTGTTATTGTTTAATGACAGATTAGCATCCCCAGGTCATTTGGGGACGCTGATCTGTCATTACAACTGGGCGGAGCGAGCTGTAAGAATCACGGCTGACTCCTCCCAGCTGTCATCTGCGGCTTCGGCTGTCACTTTGGCTCAGTCGAGCCGAAGCATATGCCTTTGGCTCGACTGAGCCGATTGGCTGCCTTCAGCTGCTCTACGGGCTACAGTGAATAGCCCGTACAGCTGGGGGCTGAATAGAGCTGAAGGATCAGCCGAAGTTACGGCTGTATCATTTGGCTCAATAGTGAATAACCCCCTAAATTTAGAAGTTACAGGGAGCTGTAGGGAGCTGACCTAGCTACACTGCTGTCCTGCAGCAGAGAAAAGTCAGGTCACCAGGAATGAAGCTACAGTGTGGATCACGTGCATGCTTTGTCAAGCTCAAGGGCTATAGCACTGCAACAAGGTTGCCTCTTCCCCATTTAAACTATTAAATTGTACCATGTAATCTTTAAGTGACTAGATAGAAAACACTTTTTCAGAAATGTTGAAATGTTAAAAAAAATACTTTAATAAAAAAACAAAAACTGTACTGTTATGTTATATAGTTTTTCTGAGGAGATAAAAACATTTTTTTTTTAGATTGTCAGCTCTCACAGACGGGGCCCTCCCAACCATCTTGTCTTAACTTGTATTGTAACTGTAATATCCTACGTATATTGTAAAGTGCTGCACAAACTCTTAGCACCATATCAATCCTGAATAATAATATTATAGTAAAAGTAAAATGTGTCCATGCTAGCAAAGCCTAGCACCCTAAACCTCATGATTCCTAGTGCTGGCATGCTGCAAAGCGCATGCATGTGTGTGTGAACCTTTTCATTTAGGGCACACTCACACCAGATCTGTTGCATTGCAATACATTTTTTAACGGATGTTAACAGAAGGGCACCAAAAAAATGAATGGGTGTGAATGGGGCTAGCTCACACTGTTCCATTGGGTTACATTACATTACAATGTCCTGAAAAGTACATGCACTACTTTTTTCAATGCAATGTAATGCAATTGATCTGGTGTAAACTAGCCCCATTCACAACCATTCATTTTTCTGTGCCCTTCCGTTAGCATCAGTTGAAAAACTCTTCGCAATGCAATGGATTCGAAGAAAAATGAAAGGTACAGTTGCAAGTCAACTGACCCTCTGTTGACTTGTGATTTCCTTCAGATTTTGATGTGAATGCACTTTTAAGAAGGTCTTACATTCCAGTATTTGCTGCATCGGCATGTACTATTGTAGTCCCATACGAAACTGTGCCTAGAAGGTTGGCTTCGCTGGCCCTAAAGGGAGACCATGTATGGCAGGCATAGTCCCCCCATTACAAAAGTGCAACAGCAGACTTTTTTTGTAAAGAACTTAACAGAAAACTCGTGGGGAAACTCACATACATATCAGTGGGCAGGAGAAAAGTAGTAAAATGTATACTTTTTTTTCTAATTGAGTTACACTTTAAACTTCCGTATGAAAAAGGAAATGTAAGCTTATGATTTTATGATTGATTTTTTATGATTGTTTAAGTAGCTGAAGTACTATTTAGCAGCTGTTTTTAGATGTTTGCATCTCAATAACTTGACACAGGGATCTATTTTATTATTACCTAATTTTAGTATACCATCATCACATATAATGTTTATTTAATCAACAAAACAGTAACTTTATATTGTTACAGTATGTATCTTGTTTTCTCATGTAATCAAATAATACCCAATTATGAATAAAAATGTGTTAATCCCAACTTTGCCTTGGTGGAGAAATTTCTAGTCTTAATGTTTTGTTTTCCTAGATACAAAGTAAGCACAAATATTGCAAAGGTATATGCATCAGCAGTATAATAACAATTATTATTATAAACATTTCACCAGGGGAGGAGAGGACTGTGGGCATTTGCCCCTGGGCCTGCATTAATAGGATATTTTAGAGTGGTGGCCCAAAGTGGAGATACTTCGTTCAGATATTGATTAAAATGGGACCTGCAGTATATAGCTGCCTGTAAAGTCTTCACACTGCAATTACCTTTGCAGCTGTCATGTGAGCTAATATGTGGAGCTGCAAAGTATGATAATACTGGGGGATGTAAACAGGTGGGTCATAATAGACTATGTCCTGTAGGAGCACTCACCTTTTACTATACCCACCAATCTGTGGGACACTATGGCAAACATTTTGTGATACAACAACCCATCCCCGCTATGAAAGGGTTAGTTTGTTTGTTCTCACCCCCACTCCCACAGGTCCCCAGTCCTTATTTTGATACCGCCTTGTAATACAAGCAAAGTACTTTACAGACACATCAAGAAGTGCAAATTACCTAACTCAACTCTGCATTACAGCTGTTACACAAGCTTCTGCATTAAAGCAATGCAAAGACCAGCAGGGCCTAATCTCAGAGTAGATCATACAAGCTATGACCTAGAACAGTAGGTCACCAGGGGCAGCACCCAACCATGCATTCTCACACCTGAACTGTAAATTTATATCCTGCCTTCCACGGACTTGAGTCCTTTTTGTCACTTTCCAGATGTTCCAGCAGATATTGCTGATGGGATATAAAGAGAAAACAGTGCATTGAAAATGTTTGATTGCTGTTGGTTACTGCTCTTTGTACTGCTATTTCGAATAAACCAAACAGTGATTCTTCAATCAATTCTTTAAACAGAGAACAGCAGTCACCTGATAAGATCAAGATAAAGTGTGGTGTATTTTTAGGGAGAATATATTTTGGTATTAATGTAATGTTTACATTATTCCTTTTGTTGACTTTTGTGTACATTTACTTTACAATATTTCTTGAATTATATAGAAAATAAAGATTTGCAAATTAGCCATTAGCGGGAGGCATTTCACTTTAGACAGCCAGCTTTTTTGCTCATGAACAGACACTAAGGGGGTTATTCACTATTGAGCTGAAGGATACAGCCGTAGCTTCGGCTCATCCTTCGGCTCTCTTCGGCCGCCTCTTCCCTTGGGTTCAGTCGAACCGAAGGGCTGCTGTACGGGTCTATTTACAGTAGCCCATACAGCAGCCGAAGGCAGCCGAGTCCTAAGGCATAAGGCTTCAGCTCAACTGAGCGAAAGTGACAGCTGAAGCATGGAGAAAGCGTGAAAGCGTGAAGCCAACCAATCTCCACGCAAATGACAGCTGGGTGGAGCCAGCCGTGATCTCACGACTCGCTCCGCCCAGTTGTAATGTCAGATCAGTGTCCCAAAATGACCTAGGGATGCTGATCTGTCATGAAACAATAACAAATGGGCGGAGACGGCCTTGGCGTCACAGCCAGCTCCGCCCAGTTGTTATTCATTGGCCAGGACCTACTAGAAGACTCCTGCAGGTGTTTGTATAATGTGCTCTCATTCATATATGCTAATCAGCTGAAACCATGTGCGAAAGAAACTGATTTTTTAAGAAGGTGCTACTATGTAACTTCCTTGTTTTTCCCACTGGAGATTAATACGTGTATTTTCATGTTATATGAAACGTATTATCCTTTGGTGTCAGCTGATTAGCATATAGGAATGAGAGCACATTATACAAACAGATCTGCATACCTGAAGATTTATAATTGTATGTCATGCTTTTTTTTTTTATAAAAAAAAGTGCCTGCATCTTATGGAGCGAATCCCGACGCCCGAGACATGCAGTTTCGGGCGCCGGGCGAGTAGTAGGAGCCACTGCTCGTTTAATACGAGTGATCTAATGAGATAATTCGTATTAAAACCGAGCAGCGGCGACAGTCGTTACTCGTACGCGGTCTTAAAAAAGTGGTATCGAGCATCCCTACTTTCTACAATAGTTTCTTCAGTTCCCCAGTTCAAATACTGGTCAGGGTACCTTCTGCAAGAGGATAGCGTGTTCTCTCTGTGTTTGTATGGGTTTCCTTACTCTGGTTTCTTTCCACACTCCAAATACATGCAGGAAGGTTAATTGACCCTTAATGTAACATAGGAACCTTAGATTGTAAGCTTCTTGAGGGTAGGGACTGATGTGAATGTGCAACTATGTAAAGCGCTGCATAAATTGTTGGTGTTATATGCCTATAATAAATAAATGTCCCCTGTTCATAAGTGCCTCTTCTCCAGAGTGATT